AATTTATAAAATATGTGCTAAAAAACATCCAAATATGTGGGGAAAAAAAATTTAAAAAAAAAGTGATTATTATTATTATTAAATTATCAAAAAGATTTGTTGCATTGAATTATTGCAATATCTTGTAAATTATCAAATGATAAATGTCGCCTATTAGGTATCAAAATATTTTTAAAGGGGCTAAATTATCGTTTCACATCAACCGATGTATTAAAAGCATATTTGAAGTGTATACTATCAGAAGGCGATAATTCCAATTTTTTAAAAGGTTGTCTGCCATTCATTATGTCATTGATTGTTTTAAAATCAATATTGCCTGGAATTTTTTTCTGTAACAGCATGAATTTTCTTTTTTACGACATCTATTGGTCCGCTTACGAGTTTTAATCGCTGATTTAACAATTTGCATACTATCATTTGAGGACATATTTTTTATTAATAATTTTGTTAAATTATTTTGAATTAAAATTAAATAATTTTCAATGTTTCATTTTGCATAATATTTTGAACTTTTCCAATAGCGATAAAAGTTTCTGGATCTAATTTTGAAATAATTTCTAGTATTTTCGTATAAAGAAGACGTATGAATGATGAAATGATAAAAATATGTTTAAAAATATTTAAAAATTAGTGAAATATGTAAAAATATGTAAAATAAAAGTATCATAATTTTAATAGGAATGATTTAAATCATAAACATTTCTTATCGAATCTTAAATATCTCGTTTTAATAAAAATATGCATTTACATACAAATCCGTTCCCTACTCATAACCAATCAATAATATATTTACGCGAACCGCAGCTCTGTCGGGAAAGACTCTATTACCTTTATTACTAGAGCTTCCTATTTCACGTGTACACGTTTTTACATATTCACGTCAAGTTAACATTCGAAAATATAAAAACGTGTACACATGTAATTATTCAAGTAGTCGTGTATTTACGTATTTTAGTGTTGATATTTTTTTTTAAATCCGTGATATTGTTAAACCGATAAGTAACGTTCGTTACAGGGATCGCGCATAGACGTGCACAGGGATGGGGTGCCGGATATGTCTGGGTACCCTTCGTAATATTATGAACGAAGCCCAACAATTCGAGTCTAAGAATAAGGAGCCCGTACTTTAAACTGATGTTGCTCAAATCGAGTGTAATTTAGGGTGACCATACGTCCTGTTTTTTACAGGATTGTCCTTTATTTCAGTATTGTGTCCTATTGTCCTGACAAACTTCTTTCAGGACACTTTTTGTCCTGTTTTTTTGATCAAACGAAATTAATTTGAAAACGAAACTTACGAAAGTAATGAATAATGATTATAATTATAATCTTGTGATTGTTTGAATTTATCAGTACGAGAAGAATGTTTACGAGTTATCGGAACTTATCTGAGTTATCGAAATGACCATTTTGGAAAAATGGGGATATCAATTTGAACCACTAAAAGTTTTTCGTTGGATTCAAGTACTAGATTTTCCAATTTGGATTGACATTTAAGAGAGTTTGAAATATATTATTAAGAATAATCCAACATTGAAATTCGATGAAGATAAACTTTTTGACGAATTTAATCATGTGATAAATGTAATGAAGGTTAATTTTAAAAACTAGTAATGGTTTAAAAGCCGAAGATAGGTGTTGTGAAATATTTAAAATTCTAGAAAAAAATTACATTCCAATTAAATATTTTACGGTTATTTTAGAGCATTCAATGGCTATTCCCGGAACTAACGCGTCGGTAGAAAGAGTATTTTAAATTACAAATGTTTTATGGACAGATGAGAAAAGTCGATTTCTCGTGGACACAATTAGATCGATAATGATCGTAAAACAACATTTTAAAAAATGTTTCTTGTACAGAATTTCATATATTTCTTTAAGAAAATCCACAATTATTAAAGCTAATTACTTCTTCAGAAAAATATGAAAGATCAAATAGTGAAAACATGTCTGAACAATCGTCATCAAAATGAATTAAGAAGTTTTATAAAAAAGTAAAGTACATGAATTTAATGTTATACAGTGTTATTAAAAATTGTGTTTTTTCACAATTAAAAATTAATAAATATATATATATATATATATATATATATATGTCCTGTATTTTTTTTTTTTACATATGGTCACCCTAGTGTAATTTATTCTAAAATATTTGGTAAAGAATAAACGATGTTTCGTAATAGGAAAAATAAAAACTAAATTCTGTATATGTGCGCGCAAAAACCCATCACGATAATATAATAGCAGCAGACGACCGCAAAAGTACAAATCATATATATTATCGTGTATAATAATTGAAGCTGTCCGAGAAAAACGTACGAGATTCAAGGAAAACATATTCATCGTGATTAACATACTACGATGTTAAATAAAAAATGTAAATTATGTTTATTTTTAATCATTAATACATTATGATTCTACGACGAAACACGTTTTGTCGAGATAAATCCAAAATCGCATAAAACGGAATCGTTACGTACGAACGGTTACTAGTTTTCTACCGCATGTCATTACCATAAAATTCGCGGCGTGCGCGCGCAACAGTGCTCCGCGCTTGTACTGCACGAGCGTTTCGGCCGTAATTGTTATGTAATATCTTTTGAAAAGCATACGCTCGAGTCGCTTTCGTCGAACAATAGGTGAAACAACGCGGAAAATATATTTACAACGAACGACGGGCGGGCGGTAACGTAACAGTGCCGATGATAACAATAAACGATGTACATCAGCAGTTCTTAACCTGTGGTCCGCGACCCTTTAGGAGGGGTCCACGATACTCATTTCGGTGGTCTGCGACAACCCTAACATATAAAATACGTCAATACGTGACATGAGTGCATTATTATAATATTGTTGAATTATTGTTATTATTAACTTTTTTTTCGTATACTTTTTATTATACAATAGACAGATCTTATTATCTTCATACGATTTTCAAAAACTTGTATCTTAAGTATAACATCAAACATCACATTAATTTAATAAAAATTAAATTTTAAGAATACTAAAAAAAAAAAAAAAAAAAAAAAATAAAATGAAAATAATTAAATTTGAATTAACTGAAAAATTAAGTGTAATAAAAATAATTATAAATATATATGTTCTGTTATGTCTAATAATATCATTTGTTATAATTTTGGTTTTAATAACATGAGATGTTTTGTAAAAAAAAAAAAAATGCATTCGAAAAAGAAATTGGTAAGGAGGTCTGCAATTTCTAAAAATCTTCCATCAGGGGTCCGTGATCAACAAAATATAAAGAACCGCTGATGTTCACAGTTCGTATACGACGACATAACGCAGAAACCACGGTGACGTAGCTAAGGGGTTCGGAGGAAAGGACCCCACAACTGTCGTCCCCGGTTGACCGTACGTTTCTCTTCACTCTGCTGCAAATGACGTTTGTAAACGCGTGGATGTTTAAAAACGTAACGTTACTTCTGAACGGTAAAACTTTGATGCGCCGCCTGTGTTGTGCGAAGACGACTTATATATCATAATAAAAACGATATGGTTATAGGTTTATATCTATACTGCGGTCGGCGTGAGTACTTGGAATTTGAATAGAAACAATTTAATAAACGAACATTAATAAAGATAAATATGCGATTTTGATGGTAACGTGTTCGTTATTTATCGCTTTACTCCTTCGTACCTTTTAGAAATCCTGTAGGCACGTAATTGCGTAGGCAGGTTTTCGTCAAATCCGTGAAGCAATTGGGTTAGGTTAGTGAAACATTGGATTTTATGATTTCGGTTTAAACCAGAATAGTAGGTACATCATATTTTTAACCGTAAGGTTTTACATATACCTATTCATTAGTCTTATCTGTTTTTCAAACACAAGAAAAAACACCATCGAGTTTGACAATTACTTTATTTCCATTGCTGTTAGGTATACATGCATATATTTATATATATAATATGTATTACATATCGCATACACACGTAGCAATCAATTTAAATAAACAATCCTCTTTTTCTTTTATAAATTGCAACACTTTTTATTATATATATTATTATTATAATAATAATATGTATATATTAATATATTATAGATTATTTTTACATAAAATAATTCTGTGATAGTTTCAATAACACCAAATGCAATATTGTAGTATATTCGTAGAATAAGTTGATAATAATAATTTATGTTTATAACAAAAAATATTTTATTCCGTTTGATCACGAGAAAACAGAAAAAATTGAACAAAAAAAAAAACAATTTTTCAATTTTATACATAATATTTAACAATTGACATTTTACCACGTACATACAGATAATATTATAGTTATTTATGTTATATCATTGTAGTTATATATTTATAGGATAATATGTATATTATATTTGTGTGTGTGAGGCGGTTTTTTTTATTTCAAAGCCGTTAAGACGTCTCTTAGTGTATACTAATACGATTTTTTATTGCTATATACCTAAATAATATAGGTATTGAATACCACTTAAACTAATTCATCGACATTATAATTTTTAAAATACTTATAGACGCGTAATATAATATAATATAATCGTGTTTAATTTATAAAACGTTTTAAACAAACAAAACAAAAAAAAATTTACAATTAAGTTTAAAAATTATACGTATTACATAGAGAGTTCATAGAAAACGACAATAAACGATCATTTATAGACCGAGTCGTCGTTTTTTCTATCAATTTTGCTTAAAATTTAACATACGATTCTACTTATTAAGATATAACCGGACAGCAGACCGTTATTTTTTCATTAGGCTATTCCTTTACGAATTTGGAAATCGATGTCGGCGGTTTTTTTTTTAGGCCCATCGTATTTCAGTTTGTACAATTTTTTTACAACTCGTAAAGGAATGCAAACGCGTCCGCTGCCAGTTTTTGGTAACATTCGAACCACCAACGACCCTCAACGGAGGATTTCTCTTAGTTATTATAATATTCTAATTTTATATAAACCATTATCATTATATTATATTTAGAAGGGGGGTTTTTTTTTTTCAAACAAATTTTCAAGAAAACTCGCACTATAGTATTTATACATAGTCTAGGTATACATATATTTTAAAACAGTGTAATAATAGTTATGTTAAAACCGTCGAAAACACTACTGGGATACGTCTGAACGGCGGGAGAAACGAAAAGACCGCCATCACGGAGCCAAGGCGGTTCGGTGACGGTTACGGAGTTTTGGTGTGGCGGTTGTTGTCGTAATCAATGGATGCCCTCCAAGGGTGAGTACGACTTGTACTGGTACAAGTCCGGACCACCGTAGCCGTACAAAAGTCGACCGCGCCCTTGTTCATCGTAATACGGGTACCTGTACTTGGGCCTGAAAAAATAAACAGATGTTAACATCACGTACGGCCACAAGCAGGTGGCTCGTGTTCAACACCACTCGCTGTGTGCTGGATCGACGACAACGTTTTGACGGACAACGAAGAATATATGTACCTATGTAATACAAATATGTTTAATAAAGTCGTACCTTTCAAAGTATTGGAAGTTCGGCGCTCTGGGCGTCAACGTCGCGCTGACCATGAATACGACCAACGTTAACGTTATGAACGCCAAGAAAATCTGCAAGAGAAATAAAACATATAAATATCGAATGCGCGTGTACGTTGTTTCGCGATGTTATTATTATTGCGATTAGTCCGCGTGTAAGAGTTTTGCAACGAGAACGGTTTAGGACGTACGGCACGGAAGAAACATTCGGTTTTGGATGGTTAAATAATATTATTCGAAATGAAATATTATTCGGGTACCCGTGCAGAACGCCGGATCTCAACGGTGGAAAAATAATGTTGCGCACCGACATAGAAGTGCACGACGAATTACGTTACTGTCGCGGCGAGAATCGGGATTTTCGTTGAACAATTACAGCAATACGCCATCGAGTCCACGCGCGACTTTTATTATTGTTATGCATTATGTACGCACACGTTGAATTATTCACGCGGAAACGTTATAACGTCGATTAACCATGCACAAGCGTTGACGACCAATATTGAATTTAATCGATAATATTATTAACATTTCGTGCGCATAAGGTCATGTAATATTTGTAACATCGATCGGTGGAAACGGCAAATCGCGGTGTGTTCCTTTCCGTGAACAGGTGACGTTTTCGAGCAGTGATATTTGCATACGTTATTATCGTGAAATGAGCGCGAAAATCTTTACGTTCCTTCCAGGGACGTATTTTAGGCGGGGGGGGGCCAAGAAGACGAACGCCCTCCCTGAATCCGTATTTTAGGAATCGATTATACTAGTATGTGTGATACACATGACAATTTTTTTTAATGTGGATCATTTTATAACGAAATCGAATTATGCATGGCTGTGAATACTGAATTAGGCTTTTTGTCGGGTCCATACTTAGTGAAAAATCAATTAAAACACAAGCGTAACATTCAAAACACAGACAGGTGTTAAAAAAGAACTACATAAAAGTCGATTCTAAGTGGATCTGAAATTAAATTAAAAAAAAAAACTACAAATATTCAGGATTCGCCCGATTTAAATATTACTAAAATTTGATTTATACGATTTGAGCCTGAATTAAAGAAAACATTTGAGTGATCCCCCTCCTAGAAGTAAGTCTAAATACGCCCCTGGTTCCTTCACACCAAAACCGGCGTAAGCACGGCAGTTGAACAACGGAAAAGCTATTCTCTCGTGTAGAATATTACGAGCTTGATTTCGTTTTCTGGGAATCACTTGACGACAGCCGCGTCGTATTATTATCAAAACGGCGCATCAGCGGCCATCTAGATGAAATAATAAAACACCAAGTGCACGTAAATCGCGACCGGGCTGCGATGTTTTTTCGTCGACATTTGCTTGTGTCTCTCGTAGCCCGAAAACCGTTTCGCCGCATAAATAAATAAATTATAAACTATAAATGTTGACGAACTCTCGGCACACGGGCTAACTACGGTTTCCACAAACCACCAGTGTTTAAACAGTGCTGCCGAATGTTTCACTGAATCCCTATAGAAAAATTCGTCTTAATCGTGTAACACGGTATAAATACGAATAAAAATTAGATGAAATAAAATATAACGTTTTGGCTGGTACAAAAAATATCGTTGGTATGTACGCGCGTATTGTGTTACATTATTTCTACAAAGACCGCCTATGGATATTTACGTATAGTTTCACTTTGTTTTCCAATAAACCGAAACACACTTCGTTCTCCGGGAATTACGCTATTCTATTCTCGAACTTTGATTATTATTATGAATCTTTAATCCGAAATGGTTCAATGTCAGCGACATAAGGAGGGGAAGTGAGGATCATTACTGCAAGTAGGAAAAATAAATTCTAAAAATGTATTATGAAAAACAGAACAAGATTATACTCTCTTCTAATTTATACTGCAAAAAAGTTTTTATTAGTATATTCTCGCATACGCGCACTTACTCGTCTCTTGCGCGAAAAGATAAAATGCTGTGCAACGTTGACGTTTTTTATCGATACCAAAGAATATTACATAACGTGATCAATATCCGTTATTCAATATTGTGCTATTGACCATTGTGAACATAATGTAATATAATATAGAAAAACTGTAAAAGAGAAACAGCTAGTGCGATTTCCTCGTCGATTATCATCACTGTGAAACGATAATATTATCATTATGCGGATCTCCGTGAACAGAATGTAAATGTCGACGTCGACTTTCGACTGGTTCTCGGGTTTGAGAGCGCAACACCTCTACTACTAGCATGTATTATAAAGCGTAACGTCGGCCTAGAGAAAGTGAAGTAAACAAAGAAAATAGAAACAATAATACGAGAGTCATTACATTGTATTCATTAAATATAAGACTTAAAGGGCTACTAGGGGCGCACATTCAGTGTACGTCCTTTATGCCCAGGACGACAATAGGGTATGAGACGTGGTATAAATGTTTTTAACATAAGCATGTTCAATATGTTATAGAAAATGTCACGTTGTGATAGAAGAGAAAACGGTACACCGTTCGATTAGGAAAAATAATATTTTCTACCGTCATTTCTAAAAGTGTTTTATTTTAGAGTATTTAGTATGTAAAATCCGTCACGTCTCGGTGAATATGATTGATTTTGGCTATGAACTAGGACGAATATTTGTTTAATAAATCGATCACATCGTAAAGTGTAAAAATAATTACACTATTTCTATAAAGTTTTATGTTTTGACTTATATTCTTTGTGTAATTGCATTTTTGTTATAAGTGTATTTTTTGGAATCAGATGTATCCTAAACTACTCTAATATGTCTGTCTTTCGATTTGATCTTGTACTCCTGATGCGCACATAATGTTTACGCATAACTACATAATCAGTTTATTATACAGCGATACCCGCGACAGCGGAAATTGTTTTTTTTTTTTTAGTACACACCAAATGATTTTAATATTATTTTCATCTACTGATATTTGGCACATATATTTTATTACACTTGTGAGCTAATATTTGTAGTTTTGTGTTCCACACAACCTGCGCATCTGCTGCAGTATATAGGTTCGCATATAAAATGTACATTGTAATAATTTAATAATCTTTGTCGTTAAAAACGTATATATTACAGTTCACGCACTCGTACAGTCCAAGAATTGTTTTACATATACTATATTTATGCTAATAGTCATAGATCACTCATGACGGTAATTACGCGAGGAAATAATGTTGTGTACCCGCAGTTATACATGTAGATTATAATTACGGATTGTCATTGAGTATAATCCGCAGCGGAATAGCGGAGAAGAAAGATTAAAAAACATTTGAGGTATATCTTATCAAATACGCTTATATAACCACTGAGTGTAATGGGATTTCTAATAAAATCACATCCATCGGGATATCGTTGTCCGTACGTGTGCATTACTATAGAATCTAATGTATAAAATATACGTTTTATGCACGGTACATTTTGTACATAAAATATATTTACATCAATATATCATTACAATAATAGTATGGGTTTTCGTGATAACCGCGATGAGGATTTGAAAAAGAACGTTTAGCCGTAACTACAATAGGAAAATATAGGTATTTGAACGTACCGTGATAACCCTCAAACTCTTGGAAATTTATCGAATTATAATTAAAAATTACGTAGTTTTTTTTTTAGACATGAAAAAAATCTTAACTATAATGACAGCGGGTGAGTAACGAGTCCTATGCGAAGGAATCATCGTACATAATATCGCTGTAACGTCCGAAATATGTATAACAAAAATACACGAAATGGTTTTTTTTTTTAAATGTTCAGTGAAAAGTTTAGGTGATAATAATTTATTATTAATTGTATTATTGAACTACGTATACTAAATGTAATATGTGATACTTTGCGTATTATTTTTAAGCAACACGAATAATAATTATTCGTATTATTAATAAAATTATATTTGCGTAAACGCGATACAAACTGTATAGGTAGTTGCTTGTACAACGAATAAAGAATGATATCAGTTTGACTATATAGGCAATCTGGGAATGGGTTTTCCGTATACGACACATCTAGTGCAATAACTCACGTATTGAGATATTCCAACGACATGACATAATATACCACGAGTGTAGAGTACATAGAAATATGAATAGATTTGTTTGGAAAAACGTAGCAAACGTATAAATTAGTTTTTATACATCTGCAGAGAAAGAATGAATTTGAAATATTGAATTTGGTTTGTAAACAATTTTCCAGATTTTCGATGCAGTCAAAATAAATAAACTCACAGAGGTGTTGAAAATAATAATAACAATACAATAATATTCTATACGCGAGATATAATACATTGTACTTCGTATACTTCGCACGTATAAACTTAACGACTTGAATTTGAAAAATATATATATTTCGTAATGCTTTTGAGAGCACGTAATTTCAGCTTTAATATTCTTTGGCATTTTACATTTATAAAATAATTTATTTTCAACTTACGTACATAGGACAATATAAAATGGCAGCGAACGAATAAACGTTTAACTAGTACGATTCGTACTGTAATATATGCGAATAATAATAATTATTATACTGTGGCAGTTTTATCGATAATCGTAAAATACTATCAACATGGACATAATATGAATAATTTTTTTTAATGGCACTTCAACAAATGCTTAAAATCCAACAAACACTATTCTATAGGTATGCGACAAAAGTATTAAATGTTTTTCTAGTTATTGTGACCCCATATGTCATTGTATATTATTATCTCTTTTATAATATTTTTATACAAGACAAAAAATACAAAAGACGTGATTTTGAAAGTTTCAACAATACATATCAGAATAATTCCAAATGATTCATTTACAAAGTGATTAATTAAAAATATTAGTTTGGTATATTTTTCAACTTGTATGGTCTGAAATGAAACGCAGAAGTAAAAGAATGTAAAAATATACCAACAATTTGCGTTTCTGAAGACTGTATGTATAATAAATTAGAGGAGATCTCATAAGTATCTATACCATACAAGTATTAAAATGCATAACATAGTAAAATTTAAATTTTTTCTAAAATCGTAAATGTCAAAGGTTATTTTTATCATAATTCAAAATCATTTTTCCACTAGATTTAATTTTAACTATCTTATATACTAAATATATTTTTAGGCAATAAAGTTTGAAACAAAATAATATGAAAATCATCCAGTGAGTCTTTCTCAGCTTGATGGCGTAGTGTTTAATATCTAAGGGATACTACCTCGAACATTAAAATTAGTGCAACATATTTTTATAGAACATATTACGGTTAAGAATCGATACTCCAATAGAAAATATTCGGTATTAATATATTTTGTAGGTTAAAGGTCAGATTGAGTTTCCGAAAATCGATTTATAATTGCAAGGCGATTTCATTAGTATAGTAATTGAATAGTTCGACGGTATAATCTATGGACGAGAAAAAAATGTAATGATCGGCTGCTGAATGAATGTGCTCTGTAAATACTTGGAATGCTTGATAACAACGAAATACGCGCGGTCGGTCGGCAAACCGGTAGAGAGAGGGATAGAGGGACAGAGAGAGATAGAAAGAGTGAGAGAGAGAGTGCGAGAGAGAGAGAGAGAGAGAGAGAGAGAGAGAAAGAAAAAAAGATAGAGAGAAATAGAAAAAACACGTATACAAATGCATAATGTTAATTATGGTCAATTATGTAGCAATGGTTTCCGGCTTCCGAAAATCATTATTAGGACAAATGGACAATACGATAAAATAACACCACTCTCCGCAACTATAGGTAAGTAAAATCATACGTTATATAGAAGGTGAGACACTCGTCTAATCGGGGACAAAGAAATCGAAGTGAAAAAAAAAAAATGGGAAAAACGCCCTGCGCGCGATTCTGACCTACTTAAGCGACGTGCGCGTGTGCCTTGGTTATCGTAATGTATAATTGCGTGAGTGCGCGCGTGCGTATGTCCTTTTCCGCGACCGTTTACGAAGGGACCCGATGACCTTGACGGACGACTTGCTCCTCCGCATCGATGACCTAAATATAACATGTTAACGAGTAGTGGGTAGTGAGGGGGGGGGAGTTATTTTTCGCGTACGGAAACAGAGGGTGAGAAAATCCCTCCAAAAAGTTTTTTCAAGCGGACCATGGACGGACGGAAACGACCCGAAAGACTCGAACGGCATTAAACGATAAAATTCGAACAACAGTAATAATTCACAGCAAGACTTACTTCGGAACGATGTGCAGCAACGGCGACAAGAAGAGACGTCTCACGCGGGCATTTTATTTTTATTGTTTATTAATCGGTTAAAATTTTTTTATTTGTTAGTTATTTTTTTTAAAATTTTTTTTAATCGAAAACCGTTACGCGCGGCCCCGGCCGTAAACGGACCGACACCGACGACCGACCAACCGACGGAGCGCGGCCGGCGGGCGACTTGACAGGCCGACGTCAAGTCGCTCACTCGGCGACGAGCTCGTCGTACGCAACAAAAGTAGGTCATCAGCCGGTCGCGCAGAATACGCACGAGCACGCGTGCGCGCGCGTGACGCCCGCACGAACGCACACAACAGGCAGCGCTTTGACGGCGACGGCGGCCGAACACTTTCACTGAGCCCCGCGGCCGTGCGACGAACGCGTGCGGCGGCTCGGGTACGCGCGAAAAGTCGGCCGGGATACCCGGAGGAGCGGGGGGGGGGGAAAACGGGGAAACCAGTGGGACGGGAAGACGAAAGCGCGAGCTCACGGTGTATACGCATCGGATTTCCCGCGCTCGGTGTATGCACACGTGTCCGCGGCGGCGGCGGTGGCGTCGAAACGGGCGAAGAAACGATACGCGTCCCACCCCCTTCGCGGTTATTATCGTTTGAGCTGTTTTGCGCAACAGGTATCGCGCAATGGTCGGTGGTCGTGTGACGCAAACGATGATCGGATTCTCGTCGAACGCACACGGGAGAGGTTGCACGGTACGTCGACGCCGACGTGTTTGCCGCGTTTGGCGCGCTTACCGAGAGAAAAATTAAATAACCCCTCAAGATCAACGCGGCGGGTCGTGATCGGAAACGAAACGTATTGCTGCAATCGATTTCGAAACGCGTACACGATTCCGTCGGCCGCCCACCGCGCGTGCTCCGGGGGTGCTTCGGAAGTGTACGAAAAACGTGGAACTCGGTCCCGTTGCGTTTCGCCAATATTCAAAACGTGCATTCGCGGTACGATTACCAAACCGCGGTTTTTCGTCGTTACCCGCGCATGGTTCCGATCGTCCGCGGTTTTTCCGCCGTACAACAAATACTAACGGAACGCAATTATTTATTTCATGAACGGTACTCACCAGTCGGTTCGGTGACGGCATCTCGTGGACCGGAGCTGTCAGTGTTGGCGCGACCGTTGTCCGACGGCTACTGAGCGCCGTCGCCGTCCGGGGGCCGGTTCGCGCGGGGGAACCCGAAGAAGACGTGTGAAAGTGACTTTCACTCGGTCTCCGCTCGGTCCGGTTCGAGGGCATCCGAAATCGTTTCCGCGGCCGCGTGCGCGCACGCGCACATCGACACGTCGTCGTCGGAACGCCGCGGGCCGCCCGATCGCGCGTTCGGTGCACTCATCGACCCGCGTGCATCATCCCTCCGCCCTGCCCCACGAAGTCGTGTACGATTCGACCCGATCGCGCGCCCGTAGACTTCGATGCGAATACGATAACGCGAAACCGTTTCGACGGATTCGTGCGATCACCGATTACCCGGGAACGTGAACACGTGACATCGACAACATTCAGCAGCCGATTTCGTCGATTTCCGAACTTGCAAAGTCGACAACGACGACTTCGTGAAGTCGGCAGTGTCACGGATTCTTCGGCGTAACTACGGTTTTTTGACTTGCGGTGTAGGTACACACTTTGTGGGAGGACGAGCAAACGTTTCGGATCACGGCATAATATCGATTACCAATCATTATCGTCGATAAAATCGATGTTCTTGTACTCTATGGTATCTAGACTTCGAGTCATTACCTCGTTTTAAGGCGAGTTATTGATGCTGTGTTTGCAAAACATATTCTTAAACATCGGATATTCGGTGAGGGTAGTAATGTTAAAATTTTGCTTGTAAGTAAATCTGACGCACTGCTCGTGAATGCCTTGCGCTCCCGGTGAGACGTACACGCAGTGGAGGAGAAAGTGCTTTTGCGATATCGAAAGTAAAAGTAGAAAAATAACTAATATAACGGTAAACGCGCTGTTATGTTATGTATGAAGACGGCGGTGATTTGAGTTTTCTATTTCGGCTGGAGAGGAGAAACGGGGGTGGCAGCGGCGGCGGCAATAACTGGTCTTTTTCACTTCACTTCAAACTCTTGCGATAAAAAACGGTATTCCAAGGGAAATCGTTGTCTCGTGATAATTACAGAACATGCATTATGATAATGTGTAATGGTAGTATAACATGTTATTGTACAACAAACTCTTGTAATGCCGGTATCCACGATTAGGATATTTTTTATGCTGTTCTTAATTTTTCTTATTAGAGCATGGTTAATAGTAAGATAAATAAAACTGTCTAGTATCCCATATATTTACACATTTGCAATGGTTATGGTAATTTGTGTCTATAACGCTACCCCGCTTAATAACAATTTATAAAAAATGTATAAAGGTTTTTTCTCTCCTAAACACCACTTTTAGGACCGTTCAAACATAAATAAAATGTAAATTATTCGTGCGTTTTCTAAAGAGTATAATCAATTTTAGACGACGCGGAATATATACTGCGCATATATTTACCGAGAATAAACGTTCGTGGTCAACTATTTACATGACCATTTCTAAAGATATTCATAAATAACGTAGCAATCATATATATTTTAATATAAAGTATAAACGTTGTATTTTCATTTATTTTCTCTAAGTTATTTGGAATATTTCACGCTTTTGCTTTTAGTAAAAATAACCGAATGCATGTGTTTATTATAATTCCTAATTGTTATAACAATTTTTTATTTTCTACCGTCAAGTCTTCGTAATATAGTTATTGTATTGAATACATTATACTAAAACTTCTTTGTGACTGCAAAGACTAAAAATATACATTTATAGTAAGACAATACCTGAATATATATTAATTTAAATTTGAAAGAAAAACTACGTACATTATGATTATATATACTCTTTTCATTTTTTATTTAAATAATTAACACGTATATGCGGTTAATATTTTACTAATACAGTATAGGTATTATATTAAGTATAAAAATCGTGCTCGAAACGTGGTTTTTTATCATAAAATAATATAATAATAGAAATTAGAACGCATAGAAGTAGTTAGAGGCGTAACCGGAAAAATATTTGTGAGTAGGGGTTTAAATTTTCAATTCTCTCCTACATAAGTACCAAATTTTTAATTTTAATAAGTCGATTAAACATAAAGTAACGTATAAAATGTGATATTATTTAGTTTATTGAAAAGTTGAAAATTGTTTATTGATAACGTGATATAACATTATACTTATGTCATACAATTATTTTATATTTTACAAATTTAGAGAGACATTTCTGGGAATGGGTTATTAACATCCCCTGGCTACGCCACTAGTAATAGTTTTTAAACATTTTCAGCTTTTTACACTATATTATTTGTAAAATTATAAATCAATGATATTTAGGATTAATTTCATTTTTAAACGACAAGTAAACTTTAAGATAGTAAATAGAATAATGTGAAAAATGTTGATATCATTATTGCTGATAAAACAAATATTAAAATGTCGTAATACGTCCTCTTACAGGTAGAAAAACTAACACTATTTAACATAAATTCGACTTTGAGACTGTGATTCACTACATGGATGAATGAAGTAACATATTCAAGTCTTATTTAGAATTAAAAATGTTTTAAATAATACATTTTACACATAGAAGCGATATAAATATTAAGCATTATTCATTTTTATTTTTGATCTGAAATTGCGAAGTTTAAAAATCGGACAGTATAGAAAAAGAGGTTCAAAAACTTTTTTGTTCAAGTAAATAATATGTGCATGATTTTTCAAGCTTATTAGATACAATATCTCATTATCTCATCGTTTTCACTAAAAATGTTTTCGTTCTTCATTTTATCTTCATAATATTCATATTATATTGTACGTAGAATAATTTATTATTTAATAAGTTAACTTCAGTTTTCAGTACAATATTATTCACACTTAAATTGATTATAACAAGGTACACATGTACAGTATATGGGTAATAATACAAAAGTGTTCATTCGGTTATTAAAATTACTTTCTTGATTTTTATATAATTCCATTTTATAATATTTGATTGTAACATTTAAAAATTTAAGTAAATTTGATATCATGTGATACTTTTTGATCGCTATCTAATTATTAGAATTTTTCATGATTTTGTAACCACGATCACTGATTAGCAATAAAAATAATTTTTTTTTTAATATTTACTGTATTTATTTATAAACACTAATTTTCTAGTTAATAAAAAAATAACCTTAATCAGCTTTAATTAAATTGTTTGAAATATTTCTGTCAGCCGTAATCGAATAAATTGGTAAAATAGTCTAATTTAGATAATATTAAAAGTATTTATTAATTTTATTTTTATTATCTACATAAAAGCAATTTTCCTTGGGTAATAAAATATAAATTCAGTATACCTGTGATATTATTTTTGACGAGGCTTAAAGTTTTCTAATGTAATTTTAAATAAAGATAAAGTAATATGAAAATAATTTGAACGATCTATAGAAGTATTCAAGGATCAACTCCTCATTCTCTCAATTTTCGTCCATAAAATAGCTTTCATTTTAAAAACAATTATATATGTCTTCGTTGAATTTTTGTAGTTCATAAAGCATGCACGCGAAAGATAACTGAATAAAATAATAATTCGTTATGTGAATATTGGTAAATATTTTTAATTATAAATATAATATCACACTTAAGACTGATCGTATAGTTAAGAATATCAAATGTACAATAAGTATTATAATATTTAGAATTTTAGTCGATTCGTGGAAATTTTTTCTTAAATTAATGTGTGTTGAAGCTATGTTAATAAGCATTTTAGAATATATATCTACACATACAATTGTATATTAGCATTTAATTTGATAGCGATAATTATTCAGAACAACAGTTCGGTTTTCATAATCCTACATGTTCACACGTAAGCATACAAACTTCATTATTTTTGATATATATTATATAATCTGATGACTGCCGATTTAGCAACGATCACGGTAATAAATCGTTCGGTAGCCATTGCAGCGATTTATCATTTTCAAGCCATTATGATACAAATATAGGTGTTTTTAATTACGTGTGCAAATACGACTTAATTACCTTAACAATTATTGCATTCTCGCGATAGCAGTCGCCCGCTTCGCACGCGTTCCATGCGCTCTCGTAAATTTATTAGCTCGTTAATTAATTTTAATTATAACTATATTGTTTTTCTATCACCTCACCAGTATAGTTATGTGAGAACGTACGTAACTTTCAACTCTTTTTCTTTACGAAAAAAATAAATAAATTAAATCTGTTTATTTCGTTCAAGTCAACTAAATGTAAGTGAATACTCAACAAACGAAATTTATATTTCGGTTGTTTCGGTCAAACTTGCACGTTACTGCATACGTTTTTTCCTATCTGCGGCCGCCGCGGCCGTTGAGATAAGCGTAATTACCTGCAAACGCTATCGCCAGCCCATGAGTATAATACTCTCACTTGTCCTTAATTTAATTTCTAATATCAATATCAATAATTGACCATGAATTCCAATAATAATCAAAATAACAAAAACAACAAAAACAACACAATCTCTCCGATTACAATTGCGAGAAATAAAAACGATGTCACACCTGATCAAGGTTGGTCCGTCAAAAACTCCACCAACAACAAAAGAAACCACTCCAGCTCTTCTGCCTCCGATCCGCCATCCCCATCAACGAACAAGCAGACAGATCAAAAAGGTATTAAAAAAAAAATTTTTGTAACTCCAAATCGCTATCTAGTTCTGAGTCAAAATGAAAATCACGATGTAACTCCGCCCTCAAACCCAACCACCCCAATTACCGAACAAATTGTCATTGATGATATCGCACCAAACAAACCACCGCCTCCAGTTTTTGTGAAAGGCGTCGCGGATTTTCCTGAACTTTGCAAAAAGCTTATTGAAATTATCGGAGTAGATAACTTTGTCTGTAAAGCATCTGCCGACAAATTAAAAATCCAAACTCCAAACCCTGATTCATATAGAACTCTAGTTCGTTATCTTAAAGAGGAGAAAGCGCAATTTCATACTTATCAACTCAAAGAGGATAAACCTTTGAGGATAGTCATACGGAACTTACATCCTTCCACACCAACTGAAACTATAAAAGAAGAGTTAGAACTCCTTACTTTCGAAGTCAGACAAGTAATTAACGTCCTCCA